AAATAATATATTTTTAACTATAATTTTTATTTAATTTGAATATTAAATATTAATTTTATTGTATCATTTTAAATATCGTAATATTTCTTACTTTATTGTATTTTCTTCTTTATGTTCGATTTGTAAAAACAATTTATTGGATGATTCACTTTCTTTCTTTTTCTTTTGTTGTAAATTACTTATAAATATTTGTCCTTGAGAATTTGTCAAATCTGTATAATCTTTTGTTTTTGTTAATGTTTTTGTTGTATCTTTCTGTTTTTTCGTTTCTTCTGATTGTTTTGTGTAAAAAATTATAAAAAATAAAAAAAATTTTATTTTTATTATTTTTATTCATAACATAAAATAATGTATCTTCTTTGTTATAAATAAAAAATATACATACCGTGAACTTTTAATAGTGCATTACGTTCCGTTTGTACAATTACTCTTGATATTCCTTTTTCTAGTTGTTTTTGATTTAGAATAGCCGTAGAAAGAGAAAGTATCGAACCAAGAGCAAATTTACCTTTTTTTTCATATTCGTGATATCTTAATGATTGATCACGTAATGCAATTACGCTTAAACAAACATTTATATCCGGTTGCTCAGTTATACAAACACGACAAATTGGATTCTAAATATTCATTATACGAAGATCAATATGATACGGAATTTACAGTAAAAATAATTATGTATAGAATATATATAAAATATAATATATTAAGAATACTTACTTTGGAATCACAAATTCTTAAAAGTCTTACTGTTTTCCCACATTGAAGGATTGATTCAGCTAAATCGTTTAAAAAACTTGGTACTGCATCATTATAAATGCTAAAACTTTTCGTCCAAAATTTGTGACTTCTACTACGTAAATATTGTGGTCTCGTTTTGATCATAAATTCTCCATAAATATCATCGCATATACCTTCAAAAATCCATTTCTGTAAAAATCTGTAATATTCAATTTAATTACATATTATATAATAATTTATTAAATCTACAAAAGTGAATAAAAATGAAAACACAAAAATTTGTTTATTATATTTTTTATAATACATACCGAAAATAAACTTCACAGCAAGATTTTAATAATGAATAGAATACTAAAGCAATCTTAGTATCTGTCGCTTTAATTGCTTCATTATAAATGTTAGTAAGAATATTATTTCCTCCTCGAAATGTGAATTGATTTTCTTTGTAAGACTCACAAACTTTAGCAACTTTAGTAATTAATATAGCTACAGAACGTACTTTTTCAAATATTTTTAATATCCCTTCAGATTTATTTTCATTTGTAAAAATTCTTAATAGTACTGCTTGGTAATAAAGCAATAATTCTTTTATGTTTGCACACATAGCCTACAAAATATTAATATATATATGAATAGTATATATATATATATATATGAATTTTTATATGTAAACATATTATCTTTTTTATGATTTTATTATGAACCTTAAACATTAGTCCTTCTTGTGGTAATTTGGTATTTTGTGATTTGGGTATAACAAGATTCCATAAGAATCTAAAACAATTACCCCAATTAATAGCTTCTTGACAAATTTTTTTTACTGATTCTGAACATATACCATACACACTAATGTTCTTTCGTAAAGTAAATCCTATCTAAAAAATTTAATTGATTTATACATTTTACTTTTTAATAATTTGTTATTAAGATATAATAAATACATACTACATCTCCATATTTGAATGAATTTGATTCTATGCCTATTAACATTGATTTCACATCGTGTATAAATTCTTTAGCTGAAATTTCTTCCAAAAGAAGTAAAGAATTCATTACCTATATTAAATAAATAAATAAATGGAAAAAATAAATAGTTAAATGCTTGAAGATATATTTTATTAAAAAAATAATAATTAAAGTATATTATATCAAGATATATGTGCATATATTATCTGTATATATTTATTCATAAAAATAATTTATTATAAATAATTATTATATTTATGTATGAATTAATAATTTACCTTTTCTGAAAGTAATGACAAATTATTCATTTCCTTAATTTTTTCTAAATGTATTGCTGCAAATGACATATCTGTTACAAACATCAATTCTTTAATAGATTCTATTTCTCCAAAACATTCCCATGTTTGGTGATTTTCAACTGATATAGTATTTATAACATTGATTTCATTCCATATATAATTCCAAATATCTACACCACTATTTGATTCATTGCTAATACTCTGATCAAAAAATTTCCATGTATCTATCATGCTTTCTGTTTCTTCTGTATTTGTTTGTATAAAAGGAAGATACAAATAATTTGTTGCAGTTCCTTTCTCTGAAGGAAAATTATATATATTTTCACATCTATTTTCAATCTAAAAAATAAATTATTTATAAAAAATTTGTTATAAATTTATAGATAAATATTGAATCCAATTTAAATAGCTTTACATAGCAATGGATTTGCTATTAAAAATATGAAAGATATTCTTTTTATTATCAATCTATGCTTAATTTCTTAATTTAAAAGGATATAATTATATTTTCTAACATATTTTCAAATTATATTTAATATTTGCCTATAATTTTATATTTATGCACTTATGAACAATTTAATATTTTTCTTATTTTCATTTGTAGATTATACTATTGCAACTAGTAAAATACAAAGCACTGTATATTCAAATATTTAAATACAAAAGTTCATATATGAAAAAAATGTCGGTTAGATAAAATGAAATAATCAGAATACAATAATGATGTAACAGAGACAGAATAGTTTCACTTTTTACATTTTATTTCAGTTAATGAAAACTTTTAACAATTGCTTATAATTTAATAAATGAGTCTTAACCGATAATTTTATTCTTATGAACTTTTGTTTTATTTTGGCTTTAGAATTAACTCTGCAAAGTTTCACAAATATATTAATAGTTTATATACAATTGTATATTGTATATTTAAAAGTTATATCTTACCATATTATTTTGTAAAATATATAAATTAAACTCTGAATTTATTGTAAGTTGTTGATTTGGATATATTAATGTATGCGATGACATATCATCAAATATATGATTAGACATAAAATCACATGTAACAAGTAAACTGAAAAAAAAAATATATATATTTTATATATTATATATATATTTATATAAAAATATATATATATTTTTTCATATATATATACATATATATATTGAAATTAAAACTAAATATAAGAATAAAATAATATTTATATAATTTACTCAGTAGATTCAATCCCAATGGCTTTTGATTTTTTTGAATCATATAAAAAATTTAGTTCATTTATAATATTTTTAGATGCAATTCTTGTATTTGGAAATTTTTCCAATATTGCTTCAAATTTATCTGAGGATATGAAATATTCCATGGGATATATTTGAAATAGCGATGAATCATTTTTATTATATGTAATTTTAGGAAAAGTAAGATTTGTCTTGTCAGCATAAAATATATTCTAAAAATCACAATAAAATATATATTTATGAAATCCTATAAATCTGTTTTAAAATCTGTTAAAAATATAAAAATTTAAAACCTACCATTACTGGTTTTGAATCGATGTTAAAATTTTTTAGTTGTATTAATAATTGTAAAATAGAAGAAACTGGCAATTCAACATATGAAAATGCTTCAAGTTTTTGTAAAAAATATTCCAACATGATAGCATCATGTGAACGATTTAATCCTAGCTTTAATATAAAAGCATATTTTTGTATTTCTAAAAATGGATCTATTTTTTGAAATTCCTTGCAATCTGTGATGTCAAATATAATCAATATTGATAAATGATAAATAAATATTGTTGATTGTAAGTTAAATAAATTATATAAACAAATTTAAATGTATTATAAATGATTTGATTACAATAATACCTTGACTAGAAATCAATTGATGACCTTTTTTCAGCAATATTTCAAAAGCTTTAATTCGAAGATGTTTAATTATTTTGATATCATGATCATAAGTAAATTGAATATTTCGATGAAATGACCGATATGTTTGCAATATATGTCTACTCAATTCAGTTATAAGACCATAAACATTGTCATTACAATGGTTATTGTTATCAATATCAACATATTCTTTAATATTCATGGCTGCACGTTGAGGTTGTGTATATAATATTTTTGATGTCATTTAATAAATAAAATCATTTGATATTATGTAACTTGATATAATAACGTATATTCATCGTATCTTACAAAATATATCTTCTAATTCTTAATTCTTATACATATAATCTTAAAAATATATTTATTGACATGTATATATTATTGCACCAACTTAAAATCAATAAAAATATATCTTACATTATAATTAATAATATTTTGAATGTACCAAAAGATATATTTTATTAAAAATATAAATTTTTAACAATATTCTAATATTTATTACACTTATTTATAACAAATTTGAATTTCATGTTAATAACCTCAATAACCATATCAAAGATTGATTCATGTGATGTTATTTTGCATTTAAATCGAAAGATTCAACGCGCGTTTATATCACGTGATATTTGGTTTCTATCTTTTGAATTAAAAATACAAAGAAAAAGAATGATTTTGAAAAAAACTGTTTCCAATTAATTTGAATAATTTTTCTAATAAAAATTAAACAACAAATAAAAAAAAACAAATTAAATAGAAAAATCATAGAGAAAAATATGTTAACAATTATTTATTAATTGATTATTAAATTAGTTCAAAATAATAAAAAAATGATATAATATTAAGTAATTGATTATAGAAATATTAAAATAAATCTTATAATGCGCGTGCGTATATTTTTATATATTATATATATAATATATATTATTTATATATTTTTTCATTTATGTCATTTTCTTCAAGGAAATCACAATAATAATTAATATATCAATTCTTACGTTCTTTTTTGTTATTGAATATGCTTATTTTATAATTTCGTTAATCGATGAATATTTAGTGTTTGTGTTATGATCAATCGATTGATTAATCGATATATTAGTCAGTCATTTAATTCAAATCGATTAGTCGATTGATCGATTGTTCGATTAGTTGCTTGTCGAATTTATAAGCCAATTCATTATTTCAATAAATTATTTCAAGGTTTTATATGATTTCTCGTTGACATTATTGATTTTAATATATGTAATTTATATTCTGTTTCTTTAGCTTTTTAATTTTCAATTCCGTAATTTACAAAGTGTGCGTACATAAGGTAATTCGAGCATTGTTTTTTCCTCTAGCGGTAACTTATAATGCTCTATTCGCATCTATGTATCTAGTTATCTACTTAATTATCTATACATTTATCTATGTACCTTTCTGCCTATCTATCTAAATATCTATCTATCTATCTATCTATATCTGTCTACTTCTCCTTTTTCTCCCTCTCTCATTCTATCTCAAAGGAGGGTTCGCTTACTCGGTGCTATGTCTACTACGTACTCCCGTACTCAGGAGAGCGACGCGTGGGCCCTTCTGGCACTGAAGTCGGCACCGGCCAGCCCGACGAAGATGCAGTGGAACCCGGAAGCAAAAGGTGCACCGATTGCACGGCTAGAGGGTCGCGAGTTTGAATACATGGTTAGACAGCGACGTATCACTATCGGACGTAACAGCAGCAAGGGTGAGGTCGACGTCAACATGGGCCACTCCAGCTTTATCTCACGACGACACCTTGAAATCTTTTACGATCATCCTTTTTTCTTATGACTTGTAACGGTAAAAATGGTGTTTTTGTTGATGGAGTTTTTCAACGAAAGGGTGCGCCTGCCTTCCAATTACCAAAGACGTAAGATTATGTTTCGAATCATTATTATACTGACTTAACCTTTCTTGCACGTTTTTCATTGGTTCAATTTTATTGAATGATTTTTATATAGTTTCTTTATTTTTGTTAATATCATTTTGTTTAAGTTAAATTTGTTTATTATTATTTTGCAATATCATTTTTTTAGAATTAAATTTTATAGAATAAATTTTATACATGATAACAATGAAAAATCATTTTATAAACAATTTTCAATAAATTTATTTGTATTGTACTTATGAAAGTATTTTCATGTTTTCTTTTAAAAATATTATTTCTTATTATTGTCTTCTTAATTTTTTTTTACTTAGTTTGCATGTTTCTTCTGTTACAGGTGCACATTTAGATTTCCAAGTACAAATATAAGACTTGTATTTCAATCATTAGTAGATGAACAAGAGCAAAGTAATATATCTGTATCCTCTCCTCCAAAACATAGAGCACCATTACCACCTTTACGTATTAATATTCCGGATACGGGTTATAGTAGCCCATTTCCTTCTCCTACTGGAACAATCAGTGCTGCTAATTCATGTCCTGCTAGTCCACGAGCAGGACAGGGAAGAAGAAACATATCAGCAGATCTCCAAATGGTAGCTGTATATGCAGCTGCTGTTGCAAATGATCCACAAAATTCTAATATGGAAAGACATGATGGAGGACAAAGTTCTAATAGACAAATAAGTCCTGAACTTGGTGTTGAATCACGATATAGAAGTGGAAGTAATAGTGGTCCAAATGGTACAACAGCACATTGTAGTCCACCAAAGGATGATTCCAAACCTCCATATTCATATGCACAACTAATTGTTCAAGCAATAGCATCTGCTGCAGATAAACAGCTCACATTATCTGGAATTTATTCTTATATTACAAAAAATTATCCATATTATAGAACTGCAGATAAAGGATGGCAAAATTCAATAAGGCATAATCTTTCATTAAATCGTTATTTTATTAAAGTACCAAGAAGTCAAGAAGAACCAGGAAAAGGATCATTTTGGCGAATAGATCCACAGTCAGAAGCAAAACTTATTGAACAGGCATTTAGACGAAGAAGACAACGTGGAGTTCCATGTTTTCGAGCTCCCTTTGGACTTTCATCTAGGTTGGTAAATTTTAATAATATCTTATTTTTTATAGATTGATAGATACTAATTATTAAAAGTTTGAATTTAAATTCTTGTGTCTGAAACGACATAGGAGTGCACCTGCTTCGCCATCTCATGTTGGAATAAGTGGCCTAATGACACCGGAATGTCTTAGCAGAGAAGCTTCACCAGGACCAGAATCTTATCCAGATAGTACTGTATCCTCTCCAGCTGGTCAATTGACTAGTCAATCCGCGCCAGGATCACCTGGTCATCCATATGCATCTTCAAGTCAATCATCTCATAAAGGTCGTTTAATGCAACAAATCACTGTTGTCACAAATGGTGTTAGTGGTGATACGACTAGAGAAGGTAATAATATTTTATATAATTTCAATGTTTTTGATTTTTAGAAAAACAGCTTCTACAGGTTTATTTGCTTGTCTACAAGTTATTTTTTATATATTTATTTTTTTCTCCATATATTACATAGAAATATTTAAATTACTAGTATAATATTACTAGTATAAATATCTATTTCTAAAATAAAGTAAAAAGATATCTATCTTTTATTTAAAACTATTTCTTTCAGATAGTTATATTTTTTCAGATAAATATGTATCTGGAAATACTACAGAAGAACATTCTCTATCTCCAGCTGGACAATATAGTCCGGCTCCTGTTATTGTACAGACAACATATAACTATAGGTTTGTATTTAAGATTTTCTTATATTTTTTATCAATTCATTGGAATTAATTATCATATTATACCATCACGTTCAGTGGAAGCTTTATTGGTCCCGACGCAGGCGTCGGAGTTGCAAAACGTTCACATGAAGAATCGGATAGTTCTCCAGGTTCACCGGCACCGCTCGCTATTGTCGAAAGTCCTGAACCACCTGAACATCAACAACCATCAACAAAACGTCAACGTGTTCATGAAATGGACGACCATTGAATTATCGTTGTCCTAAATTATCGTTACGTAGGATATTTTTTTGTTACATCGCGCTACTCGCTCATTGTCAAATATATCTGCACGCGCGTGTACTTCACACTTAATCGTGTGTACGCCCGTAAATACGTGCACGCTTAATGTTCAGAATTTCAAATTAATGCCCATATTCATACCATGTTTAAATCTCTTCATACATTATCATCTTCGATGCGCGCCAACAAATATATATATTCAGTTCTGTACTGTTTTTTATTTGACCACATAGTGGTTACTTTAGTTTCTGTATATGATGAATACTCGATACAATTTATTGTTTTATGCAACAAATGGATTATCGGTAAAAAAGCGAGAGCAGACAAAGTTATTCCCTCGTCTTACATTCTAACAATTTGTTTTATCTTCTTATTTGAATTTTCGAAGTTGAATGGACTATTGCTACAGTAATATAATCATTATTATTATGATCACGAATATGTATGTGTGTGTGTGTATGCACGCGCGCGCATATGTATGTATGTATGTATGTAATATGTATATGTGTATATATGTACATATGTATACACGCACGCGCGCGCACACACACACATCCCATTTTGTTGAATAAATTTTTCACATTTTTGTTTGATGACATATGGGTACAAGAAGATGACAGAAACTTATACGTATTTATAAGAGGGAGTAATAAATATTTGTAACATTCTTGAAAGAATATGATAAAAAGCATTTTGAAATCATATCTTAATATATTCGAAAAGATGTTGAATCTCAATAGAAGGAAATATTATGTTAAAACAACTCACATTGTTTGCCTTAGTGCTTTATAAAAAAAATCACCTGTTCTAGGTTGCCAATATTGATAAATGAACTGGTTTGAGAAGTTTGTTGAAAATTATATGTTTTTCATCATGAATAAGTTGATTTGTAAAGTAGAAATGGATCGAAATCTGATTTTTGATTTGTGAATTTAAATTCAAAACTTCGAAGTTTCAAAACTCTTGAAATTTAAGAATATTTATCTCTTTCTTCTTTTTTTTCTAAGAAATATTTATTTTGTCAAAAATTAAAATGTTTACAAATTTTAACTTTTTCAATCAAAAATTCATAATCAAATGATAATTTTTCGAACATAGATTTATAATTAGCTAATGATAATGATAATTATCTTTTTTGACAAAAAATTAACTTTTGGAATTAATTAAGTGACATATCATATCATAGATTAAATTATTTAAATAAAAATAAATTCATATTTTCATAATATTTTTGTTAATTAAATTATTTTTATTATATAAAATAATCTCTTTATCTAAGCTATCTAAGTTCCAAGAATTTCAAATCATAAAAATAGCAAAAAATTTCAAGAGATTTCAAACTTTAAAGTGTCCCATCTCTAACATGAACTATAGTGTTTTTCCTTCTTGAATCAACCAGATATATAATTATGTATATCTTTTTGAATATTTTCTCAAATATTGTTTTTATTGACGTTGTTCAGCCATTATTGGGAAAGAAGAAATTGTTCTCTGGTCCTTTCCGATTTTTGAACTCGTCGATTGTTCACGTTGTATTAATCGATCATTGAAATCGATTATTCGACACAATTCGCATTCATTGAAATGCTCGCAAGTCGTAGACACAAACTTTAGATGTAGTTCTGCGTATGATTCTGCAATGTTTCTATTTAAAAAAAAAAAAAGAAAAAGAAGGAAAAAGAAAGATAAGCAATAATCTTATGCTGAATACGTCGATCGAAATTTCTTTCTGACGTGCCTGTTTATCTAAGGAAGATATTAACGTACTATAATCATACAGGAAGAGGTGATAGTATTTTTGTTGCCACTTGTAAATAAACTCTTAAACGAATATTGATTGCTTCGAAATATTTCTCTCTGCATTGAAGAATGGTCAAAAAATGTCTGCTTGTTCTCGTGGTACGAGATAGGAAATTAAAATATAATTTTAAATTATGATCGAATTTAAAATAATAATAGTTCGACTTTCTACGCATTCAAATTTAATCCTATTCGATTTTTTCTTGATTTTTTAAATATATTTTCAAATATATATTTTATCTTTCGTATAGATGCATTTTAGTCGTATACTAAAACGACTTGTATTGAGTTTTCATTGATGATAATTATTGTATTGCAAAATCAAATTAAATAAATGTTAATCTGTTTTTCTTTAAGTAAATAATATGAACGAAATATATCGTAATCGTTTCACGAGAAGAGCAGGAACAAAATAGAATGACGATACATGGTGTTGAAGTTCCTTAAAATATCAATTGTATAATTTATTCAACTAATCAAATTTTTGAATAATTATTTTTCTGTTTCATTTTTTATTTTTTAATCAAGTTTATGTGCTTGCTATATATGCAATTATGCATAAAAATGTATGCGTATGTATATAATACTTTCGCAAATTTGAAAGAAAAACACAGTAAATTCTTATAAAATAGGCAAATTTAGGAGAAACAAAGTAAATTTTTTTATCTTTACATTTGAATTATTACGATTATACTCTTAATTTATAGTTTCATTTTTAATATGAAAATTTCATATTTTTTTCTTTTATGATTATCAAGTACGAAGTATATTTTATTTCCTTTTTTCACAATTTCTAATCAATTAAAGATTTTTATTGATTATAATTTCTGAATAATTAATTTTTAAAATTGGTTTAATTAGTTATAAATATGTATTTTTGTCAGTCATTTTTAAAAATTGAAGTGCAAAAGAATTACGTAATAAAAATAGAAGAAGAATTTAATATAAAATATAGAATAAAAATATATTTGATAAAAAATTAAAGTAAACATTTTTAAATTTTTTTGTATCTCTATATATAATATAGAAAAAGTAAACATAATAGAAATGATATAGTGTTATGAATTAAGATACTTAAATATTGGTGAAAAAAATATAAAAGTGAAATATAAAATGTGTTTGTAAAAAGCAAATATAAAAAAAAGGGGTTGTAAGAGAAATGAAAATAGAGAAAGGAAATTAGAAAGAAGAAAAGAGAAGTGAAAGAGGACAAGAGGGAAAGCGAAGAAGAAAGAGGGTGTAGAGAGTTTGCGCGACGTTCGACCCGAATCTCTCATCGGACGTTAAGCCAGCTAGCTAGCCAGCCAGCCAACCAGCCAGCCAGCCAGCCAGCTATCCATCTATCCAGTCAAGTAGACAGGCAGCAAGCCAGTTAGCCTTTCATCCACCCTGCGATTCGAATTTTTCAATCAACTATTAATGGAATCTTAGTATCTTATAACTGGTATAGTAGCGATTCAATTTATTTTTTCGTTTACTATTTTTCATTTTTTCATTTTCTTGAAAGCTTGTTCTTGCTGTTTCTATGTCTATCTCTATTCTTTTCCTATTAATTTTGCTATTTTTATATTCTAATAATTTTTGTTTTTTATTATTTTTTTAATGCTATATCTTTATTTTAATTGCAATTTTTTTATTCTTTTATTATTTTCTTATTTCTCAATACATTAATTTTAAATACACATTTAATAATAAATATACATTTATATGATTTTATTCATTTTGAAACTTTTTTTATTCTCTCTCTCTCTCTCTCTCTCTCTCTATATATATATATATATATATATATTATAATAGGCAAATTTAGGAGAAACAAAGTAAATTTTTTTATCTTTACATTTGAATTATTACGATTATACTCTTAATTTATAGTTTCATTTTTAATATGAAAATTTCATATTTTTTTCTTTTATGATTATCAAGTACGAAGTATATTTTATTTCCTTTTTTCACAATTTCTAATCAATTAAAGATTTTTATTGATTATAATTTCTGAATAATTAATTTTTAAAATTGGTTTAATTAGTTATAAATATGTATTTTTGTCAGTCATTTTTAAAAATTGAAGTGCAAAAGAATTACGTAATAAAAATAGAAGAAGAATTTAATATAAAATATAGAATAAAAATATATTTGATAAAAAATTAAAGTAAACATTTTTAAATTTTTTGTATCTCTATATATAATATAGAAAAAGTAAACATAATAGAAATGATATAGTGTTATGAATTAAGATACTTAAATATTGGTGAAAAAAATATAAAAGTGAAATATAAAATGTGTTTGTAAAAAGCAAATATAAAAAAAAGGGGTTGTAAGAGAAATGAAAATAGAGAAAGGAAATTAGAAAGAAGAAAAGAGAAGTGAAAGAGGACAAGAGGGAAAGCGAAGAAGAAAGAGGGTGTAGAGAGTTTGCGCGACGTTCGACCCGAATCTCTCATCGGACGTTAAGCCAGCTAGCTAGCCAGCCAGCCAACCAGCCAGCCAGCCAGCCAGCTATCCATCTATCCAGTCAAGTAGACAGGCAGCAAGCCAGTTAGCCTTTCATCCACCCTGCGATTCGAATTTTTCAATCAACTATTAATGGAATCTTAGTATCTTATAACTGGTATAGTAGCGATTCAATTTATTTTTTCGTTTACTATTTTTCATTTTTTCATTTTCTTGAAAGCTTGTTCTTGCTGTTTCTATGTCTATCTCTATTCTTTTCCTATTAATTTTGCTATTTTTATATTCTAATAATTTTTGTTTTTTATTATTTTTTTAATGCTATATCTTTATTTTAATTGCAATTTTTTATTCTTTTATTATTTTCTTATTTCTCAATACATTAATTTTAAATACACATTTAATAATAAATATACATTTATATGATTTTATTTCATTTTGAAACTTTTTTTATTCTCTCTCTCTCTCTCTCTCTCTCTCTTATATATATATATATATATATATTTAATAGAGAATAATTTATAGAAAAGTTATATATATATATATATAACTATATAACATAACAATAATTGATCAAGTTGTGTGTACCAATAAAGACAAAGAAACAGCAAAAACATAGAGGAAAAATGCGAAAGGATAATTTCTAATTAAAGAATAAGTAAAATATTGAGATAAAAAAGAAAAGTTTGTTAATAACCTTTCATAATGCAGTGCCCTGGTATCCATTATCTACTAAAAACCTTGTCTGCGCTCGCGCAGTATTTAGCGCGTATTCAGTTTATCAATGCAGTTATGTGAGTGAAACATTAAAAAATTATTAATTTTGTACAAGATAACTTTGATTTTTTAGTTAATTAATCTGTTTTGATACAAATGATAAATTTATCGAATTTACAAAATGAATTGAAATCGTAATAACCGCAGATAGTGTTTTTTAACTATAGAAAAAGGCGTTGTGGTACATTTATACGAATTTATATATGTTAATCGTATGTCACAAATTTCGTTTTATTTTTACAATATAATTTATGGATTAATAGCGATTAATTTATAAATATATTTTAAATCTTTAATTATGATTTATTATTCTAAATATATATCATTTTCTCGCGTTCTACAGGTAGTAAAAGTGCCTCATTATCATGACAATATAATATCGACCTCATTTTGAAGATACTTCAACTAATTATAAGTAAGTAATTTTTTGCTCATTCATCTAAGGAAAAATATAATATGATTTGATAAAACATATATTCATGTTAAATTATAAACGATTAAAGAAGAATAAAAATGAATCTAATATCTAATATACATAATCAATAATATAATAATTAATTATGATAATTATTTTTATTGTCGTTTTGTATTTACACGCGAGAAAATTCATCTTATTTTGTATAATTTATGTATTAAATTTATATCCTTATGTATTAAATTTATATTTTCAAATATCATTATTTATCACTTTGAGTTTTTTGAAAAATAATTTTTTTTTTTTATTTATCGATATAGGTATTTTGTTATCTTGGAAAATTTTTGAAATCGATACATTTATGTACGAATTTAAAAAAAAGGAAAAAAGAACAAAAAAAAAGAAAAATGAGAGGAATCCGAGAGGAAATGAAGCTGAAACAGTGAAAGTTATGTAGCCGCGCATATAGAAAAGGGGGAGTCGAAGAATATATGTATATAATTTGCTCGGTCCTGAACTGTCAACAAGAGGAGAGTTAACACGGATTGAATCAATTATAGCCCCGTTTTGGAGTGAACGAGCAAATGACGGAATGAGCAATTTCCGGACTTGGTTAATCCATATAACGAATAAATGAATTTTTGTTATAAATTGTCTTTGACTAGTAGTCTACGGATTATGTTTGTAATGTAAATCTGAAGATGAAGAAAAAATGGTATCAAGTAAGGATCCATTTCGCATTTTTCCTAATGTATTTTTATCTTTATAAATAAATTCCATTCTGTTCCATTCAGATCAAAATTTAATTATATATTTACATCATTAAATATCATATAAGATATCGTAGATATATTTATATTTAAATATTTGGATTTGTAGGTATTGAGTTATAAAAAAAAAATAAGCAATGTTAGAAAAAGAAAATCAGAAATTAGATTGACAATATAAGAGGATCATAAAACGGTGTGCATATTTTGGAATGCTTATACCGGTGGAATCGGGTATCTGGGGCTGGGGATTCTTCGCTTTTTTCTTATTCTTTACCACCCCCAGTCCTGCTGCTATCCGCAGAGGTAATAAATTTTTTTTATATTTTTTCATTATGATAAATATTGATCAATTGTTTTTTATTCAATTATAATTTTTCTTTTTTGTGGATTTTATTATTAATTTAAATAATAAGAAAAATGAGTATATAACTATTTTTTCCTGTCTTTTTTTTTGGTTTTTCTTTTCCTTATTTCCTATCTTATTTTCCTTCTCTTCCTTTTTCCTTTCGGATCCCTTAGCGGATCGAGATCATTGTAATAAGACGGTAGATTTATATGAAGATGTATCGAGTCCGGCTGTAACTTCAACAAATTGGGGAAAACCATTATCTTGTTGGTATCGTTTTCGATCATTTCGTGGAACTCCTCGAGATTGGATTCTGCGAGTTCGTTTCAAGAATTTAAAGTTGGTGTATTGGAAAATGCTACTACTTGTTCCGGAGGTTATTTACAGGTATGCATGTATTCCTAATTTTTCCCGACTATTCATTTACATTAGAACCTTTAAAAATGTAACATATAATTATACAATCCACAGATCGTAGATGGAAATACGAAAACAGAGGTGAGCAATCGAAAAGATCCAGGTGTTTATTGTGGTGAGTCCGAGCAACCACAAACATTTATTTCTGAAACAAGTTTTGTTCGTGTGATATTTCATGCGGATAATTTTACGGATCAGACATACTTCAGTTTTGATTCTCGTGCAGAACAACAGTTCGAAGTATATTTAAGGTATGGTCAACATCCGGAACTCTATCCAAATCGAAGAGGTGAAATTGTGCCCGGCAGTTATTGCGAACGAATTTTCAAAGATTGTAGATTACAAACATGTTATGTACAAAGTCCGGCTTATCCAGGCATTTATCCGCGAGCGTTACATTGCAAGTATCGTCTCAATACACGTTTGCCTTTTATAAAATTGTACATTGAAAATGAAGAATTTAATATTGATGGACAAAGATGTGAAAACATAATGACTTGTCCTATGAGACCGATAAGTTCTGGCTCAGAGCACTGTCCGTATGATTACATACGCGTTTACGATGGGAAAGATGAAACCAGTCCGGCTATTGGTACCTTCTGTGGTATGGGGAAATTTCCTTACAGTATAATTGGTACTAGTGAAGATCTTTATGTAGAGTTTGTTTCGTCACCAGCAGGTCCTCTTTTAAATACTGGTTTTCATTTTAACGTTGGCAATTGGCCAGGTCACGTAGAAACTGCTGGTGTTCGAAATGGTAGTTGTGATTGGTTGTTAAACAGTGAATCTTTACATAGTGGTAATGAAGGAATATTTCTCTCGGTGGCACATTGGTATCCACCGTATACTAGTTGTACCTATCTTCTCAAAGGTCGACCCGGCGAAATTGCAAGACTTTATTTTCCTAGTTTTCGAGTTAATCGCATCGAATCACCTATTCAACCATATGACGGTGATTGCGGTGAAAGTTTGACTCTTTATGATGCCGACTGGCCAGACGATGCCAAAATTATAAAGACTTTTTGCGATACATTTAGTAAACCAATGGAAAAACATGATTTCGTATCCAGTTCAAACGCTTTATTTGTCAAATTTGAAAGCAAAACAGGAAGTTATTCTGGTAGTTCATTATATTATTGGGCACATTATGATTTTTTTAATGCAACAAGATTCGGTACACCTGTACCTGGAACCGAATGTGACGAAACATTTACTTCCTGGAAAGAACGTTCTGGTAAACTTCGATCACCGCTTAATACTCTTGTTTATAAACGTCCAGGTGATCCACCAACTGATCTTTCATGCACTTATAGTTTTATCACAGACAAACGATTATATGCAAGAGTGATTCTTATCGTGGAATCAGTCAATTTTAAAGAACATCCGTATGCACAATGCGGTCATTGTTGGGATAGTCGAGTTGATCGATTAATTATTCGAGAACCATCTATTATAGATATTACTGATCAATATTCACAACAACACCAATATCAGCAACAACAACACCAACGTCAACAACAAAATAATAACATTGGTAGAAGTCATTGTATTTGTCGATCAACAATAGTTGATAAATTAATTAATAATGGACCGAATAGTGAAGGACAACCGGTGCTTCGCGTAGTTTCAAGAGGAGAAAGACTTGAATTAAAACTTCTGGTGGATGGTGCACATGCTGCAGCGAGCTACTTTAAACAATCTTTACCGTTATTCGAGGCAAAGTATGAATTTGCTCACAGTCCATTATGTGGACCAGCAATTCTGCCAGCTACAACTGATGGTGAATTTGAATTTCCTCATTATGAAGCGCTCGGATATGTTGCACCACCTCGATCAATCAAATGTATCTGGGAATTACGTGTTAATCGAGATAGAGATATTTGGTTGCATTTCGACAAGATTAAGTTTGCTTCGAGATCTTGTGAAGATGGAAAATTAGAAATTTTTTTACCTGGAACTACTGAACCATTTCTTAGTATATGCGGAGAAAATGTTAGTTACGTTAGAGAAATGCCGATTATATCGGCAGCACAGATCACTCCAAATATTCGTTTATCTGGAGATCATGATTTTGGACGTTTTAACATGAATTCTATTCAAACTCAAACTCATCTTCAACTGCCATCACAATCATCACTGCCACCAGATTATCAGCAAGAAGAATTTGAATGGCCAACCGTAATTGTTCAATTCACTGGTTCTATGGCACCAGCAAGAGCTGCATTTAAAATTGCTTGGACAGAATTATATCATTTACCACGTGATTCTTCAGGCGCTCTAAATACACAGAAACTTGAAGAATTTTGTGGATTTCAATGTCCGGGCGATTCTGGTTGTATTCCTGCGAGACTTGTTTGCAATGGTATTATTAACTGTCCTGTACTAGAGCCTCGATCAATATTCAAAAATGTACATAACAGTACCGATTCGTTGACAACAGTTGAAGAACCGAATGATGAATCCATTGAAACTTGTGGAGTTAATGTTGTTAGTGAACACGGCACTATTTCTGGATCTGGAAATGGTGTCGGAGGTTTGGCTAGCGTTGTTGGTTCTGCCGGATGGGCGGGAGCTGGTTTAGGTGCAGCTCTTGCTGTTCTTCTCGGTCTTCTTTGTTTAATTACTGTTTGTAAACTTTGTAGGCAACGAACCACTTCTAGAGATATTCATGTACCATATTGACAGAGGTACGAATATAAACATAAATACAATTACAAATGCAAACATAAAGAAAAATACGATTACACATATGCAATCATTAACAATTTTTCTGTTGTTATTTTTGTTTTTTATGATTATATAAATTCATATATGATATATTGGTACAATATTATTTGTGAACTCGAGCTCAGTGTAAATTTAATCTAAAAAAAATTTTATCGTTTCACTTGTTTAATTCAAGTTTAATAATTCAAGTTTAATAATAAATAAGATACAAAGAATAATGACAAATTAGGTGAATGACTGATAAAATATTTTAGGTAAATAAGATTAAATATTTTAAGTATACATTCATCTATATATTCTATTTACATAATGCGTTAGTTATGTTCATGCAGAGAGAGAGAGAGAGAGAGAGAGAGAGAGAGAGAGAGAGAGAGAGAGAGAGAGAGAGAGAGAGAGAGAGAGAGAGAGAGAAGAAG